TTCCAATCCCATTCTACATTCAGCCTTTCCAGGATGCCAAGTGCCCCTCCAGAACCGGGTCCATGTTCACTCAGGATCTCCAAACCCTGCAATTGTCACCTTGCAGAGGCTGTAAAAAACAAACACCCTTGGTGCTGGAACCCACAGCAGGCTCTGCAGCTCCTGCTGGCTCTGCCTGCCAACAGCCAGAGTGCCCAGGGTTCCAACTCTGTGCAGTGATTTATTACACACAATTAGACAGGATGACCAGCAGTAGCTTTTTTGTGACACTTCCTGAAGGTTGGAATTTTCTGTCTTGTTTATAATAAATTAAGGAACTCACAGGTATTAGAACATACTTTCATTTTGTAATGTGTCAGATCCAAATGCAAATTTGTGACCTTATGGGTCAGAACCTTACTCAGAAACCCTCAAGATGAGCAATAGCAGGAGGCTGCAGCTCAAGGCTTCAGCAGAGAGCTCTTCCTGCAGCAAAGGCAGTGGCAGCCTGGCCCCGTGGGCTCCTCTCAGCTCTCAGCAGCACTAAACACATTAGTGCTCATTGCAGATGATTTGTGGGCAACAAACAGCAGCTCAAGAGCTTCCTCCAACCTCCCAGCCCATCAGAGCAGCACAATGGATGTGTCTGCCCAGCCCACGGCGACAGGAGCCCAGCTGAGAGTGGCCACAAACCCCCCTGAGCCACCAGCAGCAGGGACAGAGCCAGGAGAGGGCTCTGGGCACACAGAGAGCCAGGGCTGGAGCAGGTCACGATGGGGAGAGGCCCCTCAGGGTGACACGGGGCCAAAAAGCCATGAGAGCTCACACATCCTGCCCTTATCCATCCTCAGCCCTTCCAGCTGCCAGGGCTGGGCAGCCAGGCAGTCCTGACCCCCCTCAGGAACCTGAACATGTCCCTAGGGCACAGCCAGCCCCTCTCCAGGGCAATCCCTGTCCCCAGGGCACAGCCAGCCCCTCTCCAGGGCAATCCCTGTCCCCAGGGCACAGCCAGCCCCTCTCAAAGGGAATCCCTGTCCCCAGGGCACAGCCAGCCCCTCTCAAAGGGAATCCCTGTCCCCAGGGCACAGCCAGCCCCTCTGCAGGGCAATCCCTGTCCCCAGGGCACAGCCAGCCCCTCTCCAGGGCAATCCCTGTCCCCAGGGCACAGCCAGCCCCTCTCAAAGGGAATCCCTGTCCCCAGGGCACAGCCAGCCCCTCTCAAAGGGAATCCCTGTACCCAGGGCACAGCCAGCCCCTCTGCAGGGCAATCCCTGTCCCCAGGGCACAGCCAGCCCCTCTCAAAGGGAATCCCTGTCCCCAGGGCACAGCCAGCCCCTCTCAAAGGCAATCCCTGTCCCCAGGGCACAGCCAGCCCCTCTCCAGGGCAATCCCTGTCCCCAGGGCACAGCCAGCCCCTCTCAAAGGGAATCCCTGTCCCCAGGGCACAGCCAGCCCCTCTCAAAGGCAATCCCTGTCCCCAGGGCACAGCCAGCCCCTCTCCAGGGCAATCCCTGTCCCCAGGGCACAGCCAGCCCCTCTCAAAGGGAATCCCTGTCCCCAGGGCACAGCCAGCCCCTCTCCAGGGCAATCCCTGTCCCCAGGGCACAGCCAGCCCCTCTCCAGGGCAATCCCTGTCCCCAGGGCACAGCCAGCCCCTCTCAAAGGGAATCCCTGTCCCCAGGGCACAGCCAGCCCCTCTCAAAGGGAATCCCTGTCCCCAGGGCACAGCCAGCCCCTCTCCAGGGCAATCCCTGTCCCCAGGGCACAGCCAGCCCCTCTCCAGGGCAATCCCTGTACCCAGGGCACAGCCAGCCCCTCTCCAGGGCAATCCCTGTACCCAGGGCACAGCCAGCCCCTCTCAAAGGCAATCCCTGTCCCCAGGGCACAGCCAGAGCCCCTCAGGGGAGCCCATCCTTGCAGAGGCTGTTCCCACAGCCAGGAAGGAGGCTGAGCTTTTCAGCAGGGCAGAAGAAGGTGCCACAAGCAGAGTGTGGCACTCACTGGACACCAGAGCTGTCAGGTGATGGGGAGAGCTGCACTGGGATGGCCCAGGGACTCTGTGTGCTGCAAGTGGCACTTCCCAGTGCCCAGCCCTCATCTGAAAGCAGGCCCACTGTAAACATCACCTTATCACACAAACCCAGCCTCCCACCAGGCCAGAGAGGCACCCACAGCCTCCCCACCGTCCCCCTGCAGTGTTTCTGTGAGAGCCACCCTGCAGGGACACCTCTGAGGGGACTGTCCCCTCCCAGCCTCCTGCTGACACCCCCAGAGGCCTGTAAGCAAAGATCTGCTCCCAAAATGTGAATGCAAAGAAGAAAAGAGAGACAACCTGAAGGAGATGCTCTTCCTGGCTTCCCTGCCAGAACCAGATGCTGGAATGCTCCCAGGCTGGCTCCCAGAACATCCCATCCTTTCACTCTCCACCTGGGGCCAAGGGCACAACCCCTGTGCTGCACATCTGGGAGGTTCCTGCTCTCCTGCTCCATGCCCAGCCCCTGCAGCCCTGTCACCCCCTCCCTGTGGCTCCTGGGGAAGTGACCTGCAGGTCACTGTTTCCCAGAAAAGAAGTCTGAGAGAAGTCTGCTGGGAGAGCCCCATCCTGCCCTGGCTCACTGCTGACTCACAGACACATCCCCCCCTCTGTTCCCCTTTCCAACCCCAATTTCCCACTGCTGGAGAGCCCCAGGGCACCCACAGCTGGCAGGTTCCTGTCCCCTCCACCCTGGAGTCAGGACAGAGCAGCAGCCATGTGTTAGGAAGGATGAAAGTTTGACAAGAAAGTCTCACAGGTGTGTGTGCTTGGCAGAAAGATTTTTGAATGTAGAATCTGAAGAAGGAATAGAGATGGAAGCAAGTTTTGATATAGAAGAAAAGAATTGCTGAGCCAGTCTCACTGGATAACCAAGGAGGCAAAGGCTGTGTTAGTTAGAAGGGGGTTTTATAACTCAGAGCAAAGGATAAACCCACCCCAAACAAGAAGATGTTTTTACCAAGCAGAAAGAGAGCACAGGCAAACAAGGCAGCAAAGCTGCAAGTAGAAAAAGGTCTCAGAATTTTCCACTGCAAGAAAACTGAAAAACAACTTCTAGCTTAAACTGTAATGTGCTAACTTTGAGTGATTGGAGAACAGTAACATGAATATGGTAATTATAGTAGTTATGATAGGCTATAGGTAATAATTAAGGTATAGGCTGGTTCTGCTGTATTAAGATGCTGAGCAAAGAAAAGTATAGAATGCATTGTAACCAAAAGAAAAGTCTAGAATGCATTGTAACCAAGAGAAAAGTCTAGAATGCATTGTAACCAAACCAAAAGGGTCTCCAGGCCTGCCTGCAGCTGGAGCTGGCAGCTGTGGGCACAGCTCTGTCACCCACAACCCTGGGCTGCTGTAACATCTTGGATACAATAAACTGCATTTTTTATACAATAAACTGCATTTTGGATACAATAAACTGCATTTTGGAGAGCCCCTGGAGTCCCACATCCCTCATTTCAGCTCTTACAGCCGTGGGGCTGGCAGGGAAGGGTGGCACAGGGCATGTCCTGCTTGGCAAGGTGCTGTCCCCAAGCCAGGGGTGCCCAGTGTCACCTCAAAGCTGGGCTGACAGTGCAGGGGGGGATCACCCACCCCTGGGGTCCAGCACATGGCAGAGCTGCTGGGAAGCTCCACTGCCCTTGTGACTGCCCCAAAACAGCCCAGGAGGAGCAGCCAGGGTTTGCAGAGTCCCACAGCGTGGCCAGTCCAGAACTGCTCAAGTCTGTGGGGGAACAGGAGGTGGGAAAGCAAAAATCTCACATTTTCTATCCAAGTGCTCCACTCCAGCCACAACAGATGCCAGGGATCTCCATCACCAGAGCTCTCACAGCCAATTAGGCCTCTCAGAAGAAAGCCCAGCCCTTCATTACAGCCTGACAATGACACTCTTCACATCTCAGGATCTCATGAAACACAGCCAGCTTTGTTTTGGTCACTTCTACTTAGGGGCACTAAGCTTCCAAACCAAATATCAGACTCTGAGTGCATTTTTCCAAGTGCCTGAGAAAATGCTGGAGAGCCTCATCCAAGCACCCAGCACAGCCTGGCTGAGTCACAGCCCAGCTGTCACCAGCCCAGGGTGACATTGCCCTCCCTGGGACACACACTGAGCAAAGCCAGGGGAGGCTCAGCTCCTGCCCAGCCACAGAGCACACAGCAGACAAGGAAGGAGCAGGAGGGAAGGAACAGGAGGGGAGTGCAGGACTCTGCAGTGAGTCGTGCCCTGGCCCAGCTCCAGCCTCTCAAGGTGAACAACTTCCACACTGAGCATTTGCACCCAGCCTTCACAATGGCTCATTATTGCACAGTGCTGCTGAGCAGTGTTTGCCTTTCTCCTCTGTGCCCTGGGGAGCTTTCCCAGACCCACCTTTCACCTCAGAGAGTACAAGGCCTTGAAAGCAGGAACACAGCAAAGTCTCTGCAAAAGCAAAAAAACCCCACGGCCTTCAGTGTTAGGGAGGTCCAGTGTGAACCAACTCTGCAGAGTCCTTGACTTGACAAAAGGGACTGTGCCAAAGTCTGGGTGACTGCAAAGCTGCTTAGAGCACTCAGCTACATGTGGGTTTACAGCTATGATTCTGCTTTCAGACTGGGCTTCCTTATTTTATTTGAGGGCGCCAAACCTGGATGTTTGAAGACAAGAAAAGCAAAGTGCCTAAAAATAATGACAAAACATTTGGGAAAGAAGTCTGCCCCCAGGGGTAAGAATCCTAAGAGAAAACAAAAGTGAGATGCCTCAAGGAAAATCCATAGGGAGAAGGGGAAAAGAAACCTGTTCTAGTGCTGCCCAAGCTCCTTTTAGCAGCTTCTTATTCACATATTCTACAGCCATTACTTTTCTTTTCCAGGCTTCTGGCAAATTCATTTGAAGAGAAGTTAAAATCAATTTTTTCTGTGCTCCTTGCCCCAGAAGAAAGGATCAGAGCTGTCAGTACCTGGCCATTCTCACTGGAAGGTTAAAGTGGAAATCAGCAGCACTCACCTCTGCCAGGTAAAGGATGCAGAACTTGCGATCTTCTGAACCTGCAGGGAAGAAAAACCAGGATCAGAGCGAAGCTGCAGCTGCATTTCTGCAAGTGGAGCCACTGGCAGAGGAACTGGCTGAGGGACAGCACTGAATGAGTGTTTGTTGTTGTCCCCAGTACCAGGCTGTGACCTGGGTGATGTATGTGGCATCTGCCAGGGCCGGGCATGGCCCTGCAGGGACTCAGTGCCCTGGCAGGGATCCTCCCAGGGTTCCTCCTTTGGAAAGGGTTTGCTGCATTCAGAGACCACTGCAGGCTCTGCTGCCCAACCTGCCCTGGCACCTGCAGCCTGTGGGAGTGTCCCAGGACTGCACAGCTCCTGCAGCACCCACAGAGCCATCCTGGGAATCAGGAATGGGTCTCTCCATCCTATCCCTGGGGGCACTTCACTCCCAGGAGGACTCACAGAGAAACTCCTGTTCCTGCATCTCATTCCCAGCTTCTTGCCCCAAGTCCTGGCTGGTCCTGGTGGTCCTGGGTCATCCTGCTGTCTATCCCAGCCTCCACCAGTGCCAGCAGCTGGAGCACTGCCTCTCCAAGGGGATGGAGCCAAATCCCAGAGCAATGGGAAGCAGCAGGATGGGGCAGGGGGAGGAGCTCATCCTGTTCCTTTGGGCTGAGGACAAGCTGCCCAGCATGGGGACACCAAGGACACCCAGCCAGGGAACTTGCACTTCCACAGCTTTGTGAAAGGAGATGGTGCTGGGGACAGCACAATCACCAACTCTGCCATCCTCCTCCTGCTAAATGATGGAGCAACCCAGAGGAGCTCCTCAGCTTGCTGCCAGACAACCCAGGAGATGTGTCAGACTCCAGCTGCTCCCCCAGGCTGATCCCTGCAGGCCCAGCCTTCCCTGCACCCAAACAAAAGGCATTCCTGAGGATTTGCCCTGGCCCTGGTGTGTCCCCAGCTCTAGGCATACACCAGCCCCACAGGAGGACATGGAACTGCCCCAGAACAGGGTCACCTCAGCTCTGGAGCAGGACATCCCATCTCTAGGGCAGAAAATCCCTTCTCCAGAGCAGAACATCCCATCTCCAGAGCAGAACATCCCATCTCCAGAGCAGAACATCCCTTCTCCAGAGCAGAACATCCCTTCTCAGAACAGAAAATCCCTTCTCCAGAGCAGAACATCCCATCTCCAGGAGCTGGCTGGCCCCTTCACAGCAGCTCTGCCCTTGGCAGCACCATGGGGCTGCTGCTTCCCTGACCCTCCTAATGACATTATCTGTGCCAGGAGCTCAGGCCTGCAGCCTGGGCATGGCTGCAGTGGTGTCAGCACAAGCTCTGCTTCATTTCAGCAGCCTGAGCTGCTGGATGGGAACAGGCTCTGGAAACACCCTGTTCCCTGGAGGAAAACAATTCTCCTGCTGCAGGCAGCAGCCCAAATGTCCAGAAAAGAGCTGTGACCCACTGAGGGACTCAGGTGCCTCTTGAGTCACTCCCTGGGCCACGTGAAACCCAGGAAGAACTGGCCTGGAGCCCTTTGCTGGGTGTCTATTCCAGCTGCCTTTTGTGGGGTCACAGCTCTGCCTCTACTGCCAGCTTCAGTTTTAATGCATTTTGCAGGATTTGGGCTGGAAAATCCCTACAGGGCCACCAGGACACTGTGACACAGAGGCTGCTGGAGCCCAGCACCACTGGGAGTGCTGCTGTGGCCCTCGCAGGTGAGGAGCCCCTGTGTGTTCCCAAAACCTTCCCTGTGCTCATCCAGGGCTGCCCCTCCAAATGCTCATTCCCAGGAGGGGAGGGGTGCTGGATCCTGGCAGCAGGAGCAGCTGGGCCTGGCTGGAGCCCATCCCTCACCCCTGCACACAGAGAAACCCCCACTGCTCCCATGGCAGTGCCAGCCCCTCTCCCATCACTCCCAGCAGGACCATCAGGGAGCATTTTCCCTGTGGAGCCCATTGGAGCCCCTCACCCTGTGCTTTTCCCCTCAGAAAATGCTGGCACATCACGAGTCCTGCTGCTCCTGCTTCTCCTGAGCTGGGCCCTGCTCTTCCCTGCCCCAGGACCTCTCCAGGCTGGCTGGCAGAGCAGGTCACAGAGGACCAGCAGCACATCCCAGCTGTGTTTCCTCAGGAGCTTTAGCCAGGTTTTCCCTGATGATGTTGTTATAGATACATATTATAATACTGGCTTTTCACAAATATTAAAATGGATTTTATATGAATAGTGTTAAAGTAACTTTGTTATATAGTTTTTATATCTGCTGTTAATTAAGCTTAGACATAGTAGTGAAATAGCTATACTTGTATTAAAATGCCTACTTAGATAACATCCAATGAACATATGAAGAAGACACTTACTACAGATGTGCCAACTATCAGCACTCACCATGGAGTGTCACAGGGTGGACCAAGGCCCAAAAGCTAGAAGTAATAAAAATAGACTAAAACCACAACCAAAAAATACACATACTCTAAAAAAACAGATCCAAGGAGGAGATGTGCTAAACAATTATTGAAACATGTAAACTAGTCTGGGGAAAAGTTTACTATGCAGAAGGTCTGTGAATGTGCAACAGGCTGATGGAAGGGAAAAGGTATTTAAGGGGTATCCCCAAAGATAACACTTAGGTGCCAAGATGCACCCAGCCCTAATAACCTTTGCTCTATGCTCCTTGTCTCCTATTGTCCTTTATTAAACTTTTTACATTTTCCCAGGAGAGTGAACATGATTTTCACAATGTGAGATCCTCATAAAGAAAGGTCCTGTTGGAGTGTGACCTTTCAGCCCAGGGAATGACCCTGCTCCCCTTGGGCCTCTGTGGATTGCTTCTGCAGTAACAACTGATCCTGACAAGGTGCAAACCCACCAGAATTAAGTTCCCTTTCAAATTCCTCTCCCCTGAGCTGTGAATCCTGGCACCAGCAACCTCCAGAGCCAGCAGCTGCTGTTCCTGTCCCTCCAGGACTCACTGCTACACATGGCCCAGCAGCTTTGTGCCTACAGGACACACAAAGCAGGGAGCCAGTCTGGGCTAAGGAATGGCTTAAATCCCATTTTCTACCAGCCTTTAGGGAGAGCTCCAGTAATGAACTGGCTGCCCATCCCAGCAGCTGGGCTGAGGCAGGGCTGATCCCTGGCAAGGCACAGGGGGAGGCTGGAGGGCAATGGCAGAGCCAGGCAGGGCTGACCTGGGTGCAGATTTCACCACAGACCAGGTTTGCCAGGATTCCTTCCATGTTTTCAAGTCTCTCGAGGGTCAGGGTGGAGCAGCAGAGCCTGATGTGCCCAGAGCCCAGAAATACACGGGAGAGGCACAAGCTGGCACTGGAGGGGTGGCAGATGCCCAGGATGATCCCCAGCTCTGCTCCCCACAGCTCTCGTGACAGCAGCACAGCACATTCCCTCAGACAAAGTCAGGGAAAAGCTAAAATGAAATAAGCAGGAGGAAAAAACTCACTTGGAGGTATTTCCTTCTCTTCCTGATGTGCTGAGCTGGGGACTGGTTTGCCTTGCAGAGTGACGTGAGCTGAGCCTGTGCCAGGCTGGGCACGAGGCTCAGTGGGAGCTCTGCAGGGACACGTCCCCTCTCCAGCTAAACCCTGTCCTGCACACCCACACAGCACAGCAGCTCCTCTCTGCCTCTGCCACTTCCCTGTGCAGCCCATGGAAAGCACCTGCTGCTCTCAGGATCTGGGGGTGCATGCCTGGTGTTGGGTCAGAAGGATGGGAAAAGAGGGAAGCTGGTCCTGTGGCTGTGGCAATGCCCTGGTGAGGGCAGGCACCCCAAACCCTCACCTCTGCTCAGCAAGGCTGGGACTGCACCCAGCAGCCAGGACAAGGTGCTGCCAGGCCCTGCATGTGTGGGAAGGGAAGGAGCTGCTGAGCACATCCAAACCCATCTGCAGGAGGGGACAAGCTCATCCCACTGGGGGAGCGTGGCAGGGTGCAAGCCCTGGGTGCCCCCCAGCATCCCAAGGAAGGACAGAAGGCCCATAAATCCCACTGTTGCCCCTTGAGCATCCTGGGGCTGCACAACACAGCAGGCTGGGATGTCAAGAAGCCTTTGTTTGCAGGATCCCAGCTGGGGATGGGCTCCCAGAGTATAAAGGGATAAAGGGATGCCCCTCTCTGTCCCAAAGCTGAGCACACCCACTGCAGGGGAACCAGGATCCCGGTGGGTGGAAATTCCCACAGTGCCTGCTGAGGAAGCCAGCCCTGTGTCACTGGGAGCCAGCTCATCAGCCGGTGCTGGGCTTGTGAAGCAGGAAGAGGCAGCATTGTGAGGCAGATCAGACTGATTTGCTTTCGCACAGAGCAGCGAGCGGCAGGAACAGGAAACAGCACAATGGCCCTGAGCGCACCGGAGATGTCTCAATTGTTGGAGGCAGCCACACGCCTGTTCCTATTCATGGGCCTTTCAGTCATTCAGGAGAGCAGCAGCAAATCCCTGCCAAGAGGGACAGACAGCTCCGAGCTCTCTCCAGCCGCCTTTGAAGCAGCCCTGCCCCAAGCAGGGGGGTTTGAGCTGCCTGAACAGCAGCTGGGCTGGATTCCCAGTGCACGGGGGGGTGAATCAGTGCTGTGGGGACCCCATCTCCTTTGGAGAGCCTTGGGAAGCTATTCCAGACATGATCCAGCTGAGTTATTACGGCAACAAGGCAATAAGTGGCAGAAAACTGCTCACAAATCCACTGTGCCCGAGGTGAGGAGGCACAACCCTGGGCTGCAAGCACAGCTCAGTGTGCAGAGCCAGGAGCAGAGCAGGGAAGCTGATTTCTCCAAGCAGAGCTATTCCCCAGCCTTTGGGAGCAGCCAGGAGCAGCACACACACATGGTCCAGGAGCTGACCAAAAGCACTTTCACATGGAACAATTTCTTTTGTCCCATTCTTAGAAATAAGCAGTGCTGAGAACACACTCAACAAAGCCCAGGGAGGCTTCAATGGCTTTTCTCAGTGGCTCGTGGCTGTGGTGCCCCATCTCCCTCCCTTGTGCTTCTGCTCCCACCAAATAGGTCAGGGAATTCATCTGGAAACAGAAATGTTGCTGAAAATGGGAAATAACAACTGACAGGCAGCCTGTGGTGTCCAGCACTGAGCTCAGAACAACGTGATGCATGTGGAGAGACACAGTCCATCCACGGGGCTCGTGGCTCAGCTGGCAAAAGTCATGGGAGCAGCAAAATTCACCCAGAAAAGGATCCCTTTGGAGAAGCAGCCCAGATCTGGATTCATTCCTTTTGGTCAGGGCCACAGGACGGCATAAAGACATTGCTCATGACTTCCAGAGTAATTTGGGGTGGAAGGGGCCTCTCTGGTGGGCTCTGGAGTCCAATCCCTGACCAAAGCACCCAGACCAGGGCACTCAGGAGTCCTGAATGCCTCCAGGCATGGAGATCACAAAACCTCTCTGGGCAACTCAATATCTGACCAACCTCATGACAGGAAACTTTCTCCTTCTATCTCACCCAGATTTCCCCTGTGGGGTCCCAAGGCAGCTGCCTGGGCTGGAGGAGGAGCTGTGGCACAGTCAGGTAACTGTACATAAAACAAGCCCATACCCAAAAGTGACCACACCACACAAGGAACAAGGTGAAACTGGGCCCAGGGCCAACAAGTGGCTCCACCATAGCAAATAGGATGTGGTAGAGCAATTCCCTCATTCCTCTTTAGACCATGAGGAGCTGAAGGGAGCCTTTTGTACAGCCTGAAATAACCCATTTCCAGTCACCCCTGCCCTAGAAGCCCTCTCTGAGCCCTCAGCTGGACACAAAAGGTGTCAGCCAAGGTGCAGGGTGAGGGCAAGGTCGCCAGCCCTGCTCTGAGGGTTTGCCCTTTCCTCCCCAGAGGGGTGAGCAGGGGGATGGATGTGAGCAACAGGGAAACCGTGGGCAGCTCAAGAGAGAAGTAGCAAAGTAAAGCAGCAAAGTCAAGGTCATCAGAGCTTGGCCAGCCACGCTTGGAGCCAATCTCTGAACTCCCTCGAGGCATCATGGGGGAAACCTCAAGGCTTCAGTTCCCTTTCCCAGCCTTGGCCAGTCCCCGCTGTCACAGGGTGACACCACTTGGGGAATGCCAGCCCAGATCCTGAGCCATGCACCCAGAAAGGCTGCAAAGGGTCTGGGTGCTCCTGAGGTGTCCCAGGAGATGGAGCTCCCAGGTAAATGCAGGGACAGCAGGGGTGGTGCTGGCACCCCAGCAAGGATGACCAGGAAGCACCAGGACAGCAGGGTGCTTTGCAGCCAGCAGCCAGAAAACCCCCAAAACACCTCCAGTTGCTGCTGCAGACACTCACCCTCCTGGAGCTTGACACTGTGCAGGTACAGAGGGTTCCTCAGCACATTGCAGCACCCGGGCTCGTCCTCCTTGGTGAAGAGCAGCAGGTCAGAGTAGACAAAGAGAGTCACCTGGAAGCACAGGAGCAGCACAGGAGAAGCTATAGGGAGCTCATCTCTTGGCACTGAGTGTCCTGGAAATGTCCTCTGTCCCAGGGAGAGGCACCAGGGAGCCCAGACAGCCCTTCCCAAGGGGCTGCTGGCTGCTGCACCCAGCGAGATTCGGATGAGGCTCCCCTCACTTGGCAGCTACTTCCTGAGGCTGGTGAGTCCTGTGACAGGAGGGATAAACCTGCCTGGCAGTTCCACAGCACACAAACACACCCTCTCTGCTCCCTCCTGTCACTTCCCACTTACACCAGTTACAAATCACAGCAGGAGGAGGGAAAAAGTTGCCAACTAATCCCAGCACTCTGCCGAAGTTGCAGCCTGAAAGCAAATCTGATCCCTCTGATCACCCTCACTGCTCTCAGTGAGAAAGTAAAGTTTGGTTTTTACAAGAGCAGGACCACAGAGAGCAGCTGCAGGGGACAAACCTGACACCTCAAACCACGGTGGGGGTGGACAGGAAACACCGCCCAAGTGTCTCCCAGAGCTGAGCTCCAGCAGAGCCTCAGGTGTCCCAGGGGCTGGGGGCTCCTCCAGGCCAGGGACAGGAAATGCTGTCCCTGCATTTACTTGCCTGAGGTCCTCAGTCCAATCAGTTCAGATTAATGGCACCTTGAAAATGAGAATGGGTTTCTCCACTGCACTGGAGATCCTGGACCCAGAAGCCTCCCAGGGATGAGGGGCTTGATGTGAGCCTGTCCTGGCCTCCAGGAGCTGGGGCACACAGAGAGCCTCAAAGATCACAGAATCAGGGAACCACAGAATATCCTGAGCTGGGAGGGACCCACAGGGATCCCCCAGCCCAGCCCCTGTCCCTGCCCAGACCCCACAGCAACCCCAGCCTGGGCATCCCTGGCAGCGCTGCCCAAAGGCTCCTGGAGCTCTGGCAGCCTCGGGGCCGTGCCCATTCCCTGGGGAGCCTGGGCAGTGCCAGCACCCTCTGGGGGAAGAACCTTGCCCTGAGCTCAGCCTGAGCTGCCCTGGCCCAGCCCCAGCCGTGCCCTGGCTCCTGTCCCTGGTCATCAGAGATGCCAGGGAGCAGCTGCAAGGTGGCAATGGCAGAGTGGCACAGTGGGTGCCAGACCTGCTCAGGGTGAGGGCCTTGCAGCGCCCCCCAAAACCTCCCACAGCAAAGGGAAAGCTTTGCAACACTGAGCCACAGCAAGGAAGGGTTTGTGGTCTTTTAGCAAAAGGAGACAACACCCAGAGTCACAGAGGGGTGGGAGGGAACACAGAGAGGTGACTCTGTTCCCACAGGGACCAAGTCCCAGCTGACAGCACAGTTTGTGTCTGTGGCTCATGGACACATCCTGAAGAAGACAAGCTGGGTAACAGTTGTCACATGCTGGGGAGTCTCACATCAGGGAAGAGCATCTGGCTCCAAATCCAAAACCAAGCCCTTGCCACAAGACTTCTCCTTGCAGTGCAAGTTCATTTTTGTGGGATTCTCAGTAAGTACAAAGCTGCTGGTGGAGCTTTAATTGACAATGAAACCAGGGAGGGGATGTTCTTGTCTGTGTTATTTGGAAAATCCCTTCCTCTGCTCTCAGCACTCTGCTGGCCTTGTGCCCACATCCACCCTCTTCATTCCTTCTGATCTTGTTGGTAACACAAGGAATAACCAGGCAGAAACTGCACTATAACCCTCATCCCATGCCCACCTTGTGCCAAAGGTGGCCAAAGGTGTGCCATTTTCTGGGACATGTCTGCTGCCATCTCAGGCCCCTCAACCCCAAAGAAGAGATGCTGAAGGGATTTTGGGATAGCAACCCAAAGTGAAGGAGATAAAAGCATGATCAGCTAACAGGCACACAGAAATGGAGGAAAGAAACTGAGAACCTACCACCTGTGGAAGGTTAAAGGGTAGAAAAAAGAGTGGAAGCAGCAGGGAAATCTCTTCAAAACCAAGCAAGTTTCAATAGGGAATCTTGGAAATTGAATTACATGGCTAAGAATTTACAGGTATTGATCTTTTACAGGAAAATTGGACAGATTGTATTCAGGATGTAGAAGGTAAAAGCACAAAAGTGCAGGTTCTGTAGGAGCATCTCTGTCAGATGCTGCTGCCAGGAAGACAATTGATCTGAGAGCAGTTGATAGAGGTGCCTCTGCTCCTCCAGGCTGTTGGGAGGAAAAACAAAACTGCCCCTTCCACCCGCAGAGGCAGGGGCAGAGGCAGGGACAGGGACAGAGGCAGGGAGAGGGACAGCCCAGCACTGCAGGGCCTGGGGCTCTGGCAGACCCAGAGGTTGGAGCTGGACACCTGAGAGCTGAGGAGGGCACTCAGGGATGACCCCAGGGCAGCAGGGGTAAGGAGAGACTGGAGGAGTAACGTGGAGCTCTGCCCTGGGCTGCCATCCCACACTGACGGGCTGTGACCTGTCTGTAACAGCCCTTGGCAAAAAGATCTACCCTGAAAAACCACAGGGCTCCTAAAAGTCAAGAGCAAACAAACAACAAACACAATGTCTGGGCTCACCCAGGCAAGTCACAGAATTCACCAGAGTTGCTCCTTGGAGTGTCAAAGTAGCTTTGGGTATTTAGCAGAATTTCCTAGCCCACAGTCAGAAATCCAGGAGCTGCCAGGACAGAAGGACTCTCTGAAGACAGAGCTGAGCACCCTGGGTCATTGCTGCAGTGACTGAGGCCACATGGCCATTGTCACACGGGCCTTTTAGGGGGGTCTGAGCAGATTTTACAGGGGGGAAACATTGTTCATAGAGGCTGACCCTGATGTCTCCACACTGCTCACCTGGGTGTGCTCTGCACCACAAACAGCAAAGCCTCTTCTGCTGAGGGACCTGAGCAGCTACAGGACAAAACTGGCAAAGCACTGGCACAGGAGACAGGGACACATTTAAAGAGGGAAATCAGCAGAAACTGAAAGCCAAGAGGGAAGGCAGGAGCAATGGGCCAGTGTGCTGCCCAAGGGGGGATAACCCTGGGACTGCCACTGAGCCCTGTCCTGGGCAGGAGGGAGCCAATATCACACCTTGGGAAGAAAATGTGGCAACAAAATCACTGTGAAAAGGTGCCCAGAAATGCAGCCTTGAAGAGAGAAAGAGGAGAAAGGCTCCTGCTCTACAGAGAGGAGAATAAACCCAGCCAAGCCCATCCATGAGGCTGCAGGACTCAGGAGGCCCATCCTGACCTGCAGACCCTGCCAGAGTGGCAGAAAGGAGGGATGAGGAGGGCAGGAGCGTGGCCCACCCTGAGCAGACACCTCAGGGCTCTGGGAGAACTCCAGGTCCATTGGAGATGGATGGACAGGGCCAAAGGCCACCTTGGACACCCCGTGGGCCATCGCCCGCTGGCTCCTCTGGCACTCCACGGGCTGGAGGGATTTCAGGAGGCCATAAAATGGGAATTGCAGCAAAGTCTAGACAGGATGTGATTAAGGCCTGAATAAGGATTGCCCCAGAGGTAAGGTCAGGGAAAGGACAGACCCTGGCAAGCCTCCAGAGAGATAGGTTGATTCCTTCAAGAGATGGGAGAGAGTTTGCTCAGGGACAAGGATGCAGTGCCTGATGTGGAAACTGCCCCAGGGAAAAGATTCTGGGGGTTTGGGAAGGAAAGAAAGGAGTAGGACCTGCAGCTCTGGGCCCTGCACCCAGGCAAAGCAGATTAATAACACACAGAGAACAGTCCTGCAAAGCACAGGAGCCCAGCTGGAGAGAGGCTGTGTGGGAAGAGCAGTGGGAAAATCTCATGGAGCAAGGAAGGAAGAAAGGACTGGTTGGACACAAGACAGCCTCTGTCCAGGCATCAGAGGAGGCAGAGAGGGAAAGAACTCAAGGCCAGCAAAGAGAGGAGTCAGAGCCCTCCTGCACCTGTGGTGTCCAGGCTGTTTTAGGTGTTGCTGGCTGCAGAGGTTCAGGTTCTCTCCCCTCACAGCTCAGCAAGACCAAAGCAGAGCCTGGCACTGCAGAGACTTGCAGGAGCTCCTTGGAGCTCCCCAGAGCCTTCCATGGCTGTGCCCACACTCAGACAGGAGAGAGCCCTTCCCAAGGGCCACAGGTGACATCCCAGCCTTGCTCTCTCCACTGTCCCTGCCAGCAGGGGCTCAGCACCATGGGCTGTTCCCTTCAGCATTTCTCATTCCTCACCCCACTGACTCAGCCCCTGCTGCCCTGCCCCTGTGCCAGCTCACCCAGACAGCACAGCCCCAGGGCACCAGCATTCCCAAACTCTGCCTCACACTCCTGGCCTGCACCCTGGCTTCCCTGGCACCAGCTCCAGCTGGGAAATCCTCTCCTGTCAGAACTCAGCACATTCCTCCAGGTGTCCAGAGTTGCCGAGGACCCCACCAGGGGCCTCAGAAACCCTGGCACACAGCCCAGAACACCTGGGGATTGGATCTTGACCCTTGGAGCAAGTTGCCAACTTTGTATGAGGACATGAAAGTCACACAGGTTTGAATAGCATAAGAACAAAATGATCACAAGGTGAAAATGTAGATTTTAAGAATTTGGTACGGCAGTTGTAGAGACAAGATGGAAGAACTTAAGCGTGCCTAGCCTTTCTTCTTCTTCTTCCTGTTCTCCATTTTCTGCAGTGATGTTGGCACTTTGGGATTGGTTTAGAGTAGAAGTTCACTGTCTAACATGGGTGATAGGTACTGGGAATTAAGTGTCAATATGTTCTATGTAGTTTGTAGTATAAAAGGACAATGCTGCCCTGGGGGTGGTCAGAGTGCCTGTGGCTGCCCTGCTGAGCAGATCTCTGCTGGGCAGGAAGAAAATTTTATAGATAAGAATTAATAAACAACTTCAAGAGTGAAAAGTGAAGAGTCCAGACTCGTTCTTCAGCTGTGTGGGCCGAAGCAGAGACACCCTGCACATCTCAGGGCAGCAATCAACAACCAAAAACCTGAGACTCTCCCAGCTCCAGGCTCACCCCAAGAGCATCATAAGCAGAGTCCTTTCCCTGAGACATTTTCCTCCTCACCCTGCCCCTAGTGGGGTCTCTGCTCCTCCAAACACACTTGTCCTGGGGTTCTTCATCACCCCCACATGCACAAATACCCCACCCAGGCTGCAAACAGCATTAGTTATCCATAAATATTCCACAGTTGGCTGCTGCTCCAAATATCTGAGTCTGACCTGAAGGCAGGTAAACCAACCCAGCCTGGTGGAGCTCCTGACTTCAGCTGCACCCCCAAACCATCCAGCACAGCTGTGCCACACAACAGCAGTTTACCTGGGTTTCAGTCCTGCAGGTGCCCAGAAAAGTCTGAGCAGCACAGGACAGCAGGGCAGACAGGGAAAGGGGTTTAGTTAAAAGTTAGTGCCAAGTTTTCTAATCAATCATGGACTTTTTCATGTACTTTGATGTATTTTCATGTACTTTTTGGCAGAAAAAAAGAAAAAGATGTTCAAGTCAAAGCAAGGGATGAATTACACAATGAAAACCAGAGAGAGGAGTCACTTAGCACAACCCTCTGCTGGTTTGTACTGGCCAGTGATGGGAATTGGCTCAGGCCTTCTGCTGTTGGCCACCCAGAAACTAAAACCAGTGAAGCAGAACTTTCTCTACAGGTCTGTGGAGATGACACATTGTTCACTCCTACTGAATTCAACCCCAAATTACTCAGTGAGATCCTCTGAAATTACCCCAGAAGAAATGTTCCTGGTTAGCAGCGCACGAGTGGGCTCTGCCTCTCTCCCAGATTCCAAGGCTTTGCAGACTTTGCAGTTGGATGCAAGTGAAACCAGCAGCAAATGTGATCAACACATCCAAACCCTGCCAGTTTGGATGGTAAGAGCTGTCTCATCCCTGGGGTGCCAAAGTCCTGCCCCCAGAGTTCCAACAGCTCTCCAACAACATGGCAGAAAAGTTGAAGTAAGAAGAACGAGAGGAATTTGGGCAGGACACGTGAGCTGTTTCAGGAACTGAAATTCTGAGAACATCTGCAGCAAGTTCTCTGTCTGCTTCTAGTTCTAGTGGATTCTCCTTCCCTAGAGATGCTGCAAAGCCATGTGGACACAACCCTGAGTGACTTCAGGGGATCCCTGAACAAGGGGATGGGACTGGATGACCTCCCCTGGTGCCTTTCAGCCTGAACCACTCTGTGCTTCTCTAACCTGGCACAAAACATCCTTAAACCCCCTCCTCCTGAGCCTGCTGGGCTGTCACTGATGTGCATTTGCCACCCACAGTTTCCTCTCTCTGAGCCCAAAGGCAACAGGAACAACAGTTGATTTCTAGCCCAGAGAGTTTTGATATTTAGTTTATCCCACAATAAACTGTCCAGAAGCCTTTCCAAATATCATATCAATACAGTCACTGCACAATGAAACATTTCCCTTCTCCATGTAATGAGGTGTCCCTTCCAGTCCCTCCAGTGCCTGAAGGGGCTCCAGGACAGCTGGAGAGGGACTAGGGACAAGGGATGGAGGGACAGGACACAGGGAATGGTTCCCAGTGCCAGAGGGCAGGGATGGATGGGATATTGGGAATTAGGAATTGTTCCCTGTGAGGGTGGGCAGGCCCTGGCACAGGGTGCCCAGAGCAGCTGGGGCTGCCCCTGGATCCCTGGCAGTGCCCAAGGCCAGGCTGGACAGGGCTGGGAGCAGCCTGGGACAGTGGGAGGTGTCCCTGCCCTTGGAATGGGACTGGATGAGCTTAAAGTCCCTTCTAACCCAAAGCAGGGTGATTCTACCATTCAACCCTCTATGTAGGAGAGCAGAAGAGCAGGTTTGGAGAGCCCAGAGAATGTGGAAGAGTTTTACCTGTGTGGTCCTGTTCCTGCTCTCGAGAAGGAGCAGCTCCTCCGACAGCAGCAGAGTCCGGGCTGGGTTGCAAAGATCCAGGGGCTACATTTGGATGGGAAAATAAAAAAATTAAAAAAAGGAAACAAAAGAAACAGTCAAACCTTCCACTGGCAGTGTGGTTAGTGAGATACACTTTCCACCCACCAAACCCACTTTGTGTCACTTTGAGCTGTAACTCACATGGGGAGAAGCCACCCCACACTGTGCTCAGAGGGACACAAAATCCGCAGTCCAGTGAGAGGAGAAAGCAGAGCCTTGCACTCACACCTCCAGCAGCCCAGCTGTGCCTCTGACAGGGGCTGCTCTGCAGGGGGGGTTATGGGTGTTTGTCAGCAGGAAGCACAACCACAGGGCTGGCAGGGCAGGTTCCCACGTCCCTCAGGCACCAATATTGAACCTGATGGTGTGCATCACTCCTAAAGCAACTTTTAGCAATTCCTGTCCCTTCCCGTGCCACACCCAGCTCAATGCTGGAGAATGGGACAGGTTCACGTGTCCTGAGTGCACAAGAAACCCTGCAGCAGCAGCCTGGAGCAGCAGAGTGGGAACAGGAGGGATCTGCACAGGGCCCTGCAGAGGGAAAAGCAGCTCCTGAAGGGGCAGATTCCCAGGCACAAGCCAGGATGAGGTTTGGGTGTAAGGAGGCAGAAAGTGCCAGTTGTGTTCCTGCCAACAGAAGCTGAGGGCTCAGCCAGGGGCCACAGGGAGGAGGGGGTGATCAAACACCTTCCCCCAGCTCCAGCCCAGCCCAGCCTGGCCTCAGGCAGCCCAGGGCTCAGGCAGGAGGGACACGGAATGGGGACATGGCTTCAGGCTGGGCTGAGGGGACAGTGACACTGCCACTGGCACAGGAGGACAAAGGGCTCCCCACAGGCTCAGAAAGGAAGGGATTCATCAGCAATGTACTATAATACATGGAGCAGATGAGATTTTTGGGGTTCTGGCCACATGAAGGACAAAATGAAGGACACAGAGGAAGTCAGAGCTACCACCACCGAACTCAGGGCTGTTGTCTTAAAACAGCTCATGGACTTGCAGAGGCAGAACTTTCCCTGTGGAGCCATTACAGCTCTGAATCCTTGTCCTCTGCTCTGGAGCCAGGCTGGGAGAGCTGGGGGTGCTCACCTGGACAGGAGAAGCTCCAGGGAGAGCTCAGAGCCCCTGCCAGGGCCTGAGGGGGCTCCAGGAGAGCTGGAGAGGGACTGGGGACAAGGAATGGAGGGACAGGACACAGGGAATGGCTCCCAGTGCCAGAGGGCAGGGCTGGATGGGATATTGGGGAGAAATCCTTCCCTGGGAGGATGGTGAGGCCCTGGCTGCTCAAATTTTAGTGTGCCCACAGCTAAACTAAAACCCCTTTGCACACACTGACAGCACAAGAACCCTCAAGAAGAACCACACTGATCTGCAATTCCAAAGTCAGCTCTGAAGCCCAAAAGCTGGGACACCTCCTCCTGACCCAAGCAAGTACCAAGGGCCACATTTGAAAAGCTGAAAAGGAGAAAAAAAAAATCCAACAGAGAATTGCTTGGGCAGGACAGAATTCCCTTTGAGACAGCCCCCAGCACTGTGCCAAGTGCAGCCAGCTCCAGAGGAGAGCTGAGCATGGCAGGGATCCTGCTGGGAGGGAGATCCTTGCAGGGATGCCCAGGCTGGGCACTCCCTGGAGCTGAGATTGGGCACTGAGCACGTCCAGCCCCCGTGGCTGCACTGACCTGCACAAAGATGGGGAACACCAGCACTTTGGGGGCCAGGGTCACGTAGGTGCCGTAGGAATGGGGGATGTGAGGCCTCACTATGGTGCAGTTCTGGTAGTTCCCATAGCTCTTCATGCTCTGCACAGTCTTCATCAGCCTGGATTTCCTCCCAGAGCCCGTGTGGGATTTCCCTTTAGAGCCATTCCCTGGATGGACACAGGAGGCAGAAGGAAAGACAGGATGAGGAGGGAGCTCCAGCTCTGTCACTCCAGCTCAGCCCTGCTCTCCCAGGCTGGAGCAGGCCATGGGGAACTGCTGGGGCCAGGAGCTGCAGGGACAGGCAGCACTCAGCTGCCCAGCAGTCCCAGGGATTCAAGGAATAACAGCACTGATCCATTGTTTCCAATGGCAAACAAGAGGCTCCTGGGTGGTTTTGTTCCAGGGCTGTTTGCTTGGTGGCCTGAGGACTTCAGTGGGTGCCACCAGCAGCACAGACACGGCTGGGAAGGTACAAACAGAGCCCAGGGAGGCCACAGCAAGCTCTGCTTCAGGCCAGCACATCCCACCAGTGCCCTGCCCTCTGAGTGTCCCCCTGCAGGGCTCTGTCCCACCCTGGGGTCCCAGCACAGAAGGACCTGGAGCTGCTGGATGAGTCCAGAGGAGGCCCCTGGGATGCTCCAGGGGTTGGGGCCAGGCTGGGAGAGCTGGGGTTGCTCACCTGGAGAGGAAAGGCTCCAGGGAGAGCTCAGAGCCCCTGCCAGGGCCAGAAGGGGCTCCAGAGGAGGAACTTCAACATTTTTATCCACACAAGTCCTGCCTGCTCTGGATTCTGGGCATGGAATTAGCAAAGTGCAGGAATGCCATGCCATGGGGCAGTGGGTTAATGACAGCTCTCAGAAGATGCTGGGATTGGAGGTGTCAGAGAACCAGGCAGGAGTTACAAACACTCATGGCTGGATCAATCCCTGCTGCTGCCAGCAGTGCTTTCTCGGACATTGGGTGTATTTATAAAGGATGAGCTCACTGTTCATGAGGCTGGCATCACATCAGCCTCTGTTTTCCAGCATTGCATTCTGGGCTGGAAAAGGCCCAAGCACCTGACTGGCTTTCAGTCTGTCCCTCTTCCCTGAAGAGTTATCCTCACTCAAAGGAGGGATTACAGGAGCCTTTCTCCTGCACCCTCCCACCCCAGCTGTTGCTGTCCTGATGGACCCCAGCAACCTAAAACTGCCCTAAAACTGCCCTAAAACTCACAGGCAACAGATCCAACAGGAACTGCATGGCTCTCTAACCAAAATTCACACCTTCAAAAGAAGCCCCACGAAAAATCAACGTATTTCCTTCCTCCCTCCTCCTGTAGCTGATGAACTGAGCCAGCCTGGGGCTGCAGGCAGAGCTCTCCACTGGGACTGAACATATCCAGGTGAGGAGCTGGAGCATTCTCCTTCAGCCCCACAGGGATGTCTCAGGAACAGGAATGAGCATCCCTCCTGCATTTCCCTGGGGACCCCCAGCACCTCTCCTTCCCTCCCTGCAGCCACCCCAGAGCTCCTGCTCCTATCACAGAGCTTTTGAAGCTCCTGCTCCCACCACAGAGCCTTTTAGAGCTCCTGCTCCCACCACAGAGCCTCTGGAGCTCCTTTTACCACCACAGAGCTTCTGGAGCTCCTGTTCCCACCACAGAGCCTTTTAGAGCTCCTGTTCCCACCACAGAGCCTTTTAGAGCTCCTGTTCCCACCACAGAGCCTCTGGAGCTCCTTTTACCACCACAGAGCCTCTGGAGCTCCTTTTACCACCACAGAGCTTCTGGAGCTCCTGTTCCCACCACAGAGCCTCTGGAGCTCCTGTTCCCATCCAGAGCCTTTTACCCTTGCACTGTGAGGGATGCCCAGCACCTTCCCAGGCAGAAATGAGCCAAAACACTCCTGACCATGGCCCAGGGCAGATAAGGCCTGGTCCAAAGCAAACACACAAAGCTGCCCAGCATTACCTATTCCATTAAGCATTAGGAAATAGCACATTTACTCCCAGATAAAGGCAGCAGAGGCAGCCAGCCTGGGCTGGGAAGCCAGCTTGGCTGTTTACTGCTGGCTGGAGCAGCTGCCTTTGCTGGGGGCACCCTCATGACCTAAGAGCTTGTTTCCACCTCTAAGTGCATTAATCCTGACATTTTCCCTTTTCCCTTTTTCCTGGTTGCACTGGCAGATAACATCAAAGCTCAAGAGACAGCTCAGCACAGGCCAGATAAGATCTGTCTGGGCTGTTTAGGATTTACTTTTGCTCTTATCCCTAAATCACCTCGTTCTATCAGAGGAAATAATCACCTGCACAGGTTCCTGGCACAGAAACACACCCAAATGTCAGCTCCTGCCACTGGGTGGGCAGCTCTGTGCTGCCACACTTCATCCCTGCTCAGGTTAGCTGATACCTCCCTCCCTCTGAACTTAACATTAAATAATTAAAAACAAATCCAGAAAAATCCAAAATTTGCTACGGGAAGAAGCTCAAGCCTTTCAAATCCCACCTCACTGTAAGAACAAGTCCCCCTGGTCCAGCTCATCTTTTCACAGGACCCACAAACAGCAGGAAAGAGCTGCAATCATCCACAGAACAAAACATCCCCTGCAGCTGAGAGTGGAAAATTCTCCTGGTGCAGAGCTCCAGGGCTGGGAGCTCCCAAGGCAGGGGGGCCTGGCCCTCCCTGCTCCCTCCTGCTCCCCAGCACTGCCCCATGGCTCTGCAGCCCCACTCTTGGCTTTCTCTGGACACAGCCCCACCTCAGAGACAGCACCAAGTTTGCCAGCTGTGCCCTCACCAGACTGGGAATGCTGAGGGGTTCACACCCTCCAGGAGCTCAGCTCTCCTAGGGATCCACAGCTCATCCTGAGGGCATCCAGACAGGCCAGGGCAAGCACAGCCTCCCAAAGCTCCCAAATCCATGAGCAGACAAGGGGGATTTCCACATGGACCTGGATTCCTGCAGTGCCCAGCCCTGCCACCCACCTCAGCCCACTCTTCCCACAGGTCCAACCATCCCCAGGGAGCTCCAGGCATCCCACACACACCTGTCACAGCTGTGGTCCATGTTATGAGCTTATGTTTCAAAGGTTTTTTGAGGAGAGCTGGCTCAGAGACTTTGCAGCAGCCCAGGGCTTGAATATTCCCCAAATCTGACCCAGCTGCTGGCACTGATGTGAGGCACAGCCAGCCTCACTCCTGTGGCACTGAAGGAGTGTCAGAGCAGGGAGCAGCTGTCCCAGCAAGGCCTCATGGATGAGGAGAACACGTGGGAAGCAGGATGGATGCTCAGAGCTCTCACCCTGCCCTGGGAGGTCCCCACAGCAGAGCCCTCTGAGAGCTCCCCAGACCCCTCACGTGAGGCTCACCCTGTGCCCAGCTCCCCTCGGATTTTGGGTTCAAGGATGATCCCAAAGCCCCTGGGCTGCTGCTCCTGCCCTCAAACCCCAGCCCTGCAGGGCTGGCACAGGGAGCTGATGGTGCCAGGAGGCCCAGCCTGGAGCTGGGTGCTCGGAGCAGCTCCCCCAGCCCAGGCACACTCACCCACAGTGGTGCTGTCCTCCTGGTACACGGGCCTCAGCAGCTGTGGGGACAGAGACAGGGACACGGTCAGCTCCAGGGACAGTGACACAACCAGCTACAGAGGGTAACATGCCAAACCCAGCCAAGCCAGAGCACTTCAGAGAGGGGAAAAAAAAATCATTTTTGCAGCAGAAAAGGAGAGCAATGACCGACAGTGTGGTCTTGTGCAGTGGGAACAAGACAGTGGGCTGTGACTATGACCCCCCCCCCCCCAGGTAATGAGTGGAAAGGCAGTGCCAGATGGAGCCAAGGCTCTCTGGAACACTCCCCACATCCTCCCCACACCCCTGGGGTGAGCCCTGAGGGAAATGCTTTAGGAAAACAGTGAAAGGGGACAGAGGTGTGGCTTGTAAAACTGGCAAATATTTCGAGCTGATGCTGGATAAGGCTGAAGCAGGGGCCAGGAGAGGCTGCAGCCAGGGCCATGTGCAGCCCCAGCCCTACCTGGCTGCCGGGGTTCAGCGGGGCCAGGATGATGTAGTTCTGGTCGGCAGCAGAGGGCACCCGGGACAGGGCGGGCAGGGTGTTCTGGCCCCGCTTGCCCAGCTCCGTGTACCTGTCCCAGGTGTGCAGCCCCAGCCCCTCGGAGCCATCGTAGAGGATGTGGCAGCTGCGGCGCTGCTCGGCCTGCGCGGGGCCGCTCTTCTCCCGCTTCTGGGGAGGGGACTGCAGGTCGTAGGCGGATTTGCAGGAGGACCTGCGGGGCATGGCCTCGTGGGCCGGCTTCACCTGAGGCACCAGCCTCCACACCAGGAGGATGATCTCCGTGGGACAGTTCCTGGCACAGATGGGGTGGGGAAATCAGGGCTGCAGCACCGTGTCCTGCACCCAGCCCTGCAGCCCTTCCTCCCTCCAAATCCTCTGCTGCTCTCGCGTGCTCCCCAGCCCCTCCATCCTTCCTTCCTTCTCCAGGGAATCCTTTCCTGCATCCTTCCCTCTTCAGGGAATCCTTTCCTGCATCCTTCCCTCTCTAGGGAATCCATTCCTGCATCCTTCCCTCTCTAGGGAATCCTTTCCTGTATCCTTCCCCTCCAGGGAATCCTTTCCTGCATCTTTCCCCTCCAAGGAATCCTTTCCTGCATCCTTCCCTCTCTAGGGAATCCTTTCCTGCATCCTTCCTTCTCCAGGGAATCCTTTCCTGCATCCTTCCCTCTCTAGGGAATCCTTTCCTGCATCCTTCCTTCTCCAGGGAATCCTTTCCTGCATCCTTCCCCTCCAGGGAATCCTCTCCCAGTGTCCTGCACCCCTCAGAGCTTTTCCCTTCCCACAGTCACTCAGTGCTCTCCCTGCCCTGGGGTTTGGGTTCCCCCAGACCATCTCTCCCTGCCCTGGGGTTTTTGGGGAGCACTCACCGGATTTCGTGGGCCAGCTCCACACATTTCCAGTGCTCCACAGGCTGCTCATTCAGCTGCAGCACCGTGTCCAGCTGCTGCAGCCCTGCCTTCTCTGCTGGGCCACCTGAGAGGGACAAATTCCAGTCACCTGCAGGCAGGAGGCCGAGTGGGAGGGGGAGGAGAAGCCCTGGAGCTTGGAGACCCCCAGAGAGCTCCACAGCTTGGAGCCCTCACTCCCCCAAACCCCATCTGACACCCACACCCAAAAATGAAGTGGGATCAGCCAGCCTGGAGCTTCACCTTGCAGCACATCCACACACACAGAGCACCAGGACAGAGCCAGCAGTGCTCCCTCAGAGCTAGTGCATGAAATCCCCATGTTTCCTGGGGTGCAGTGGGGAGCAACAGAGCACACTGGAGACACCAGTCCATCCCACAGGTGCACAGCAAGAGGTTCTACTCAGGGAACTGAGGATTCCCACAATCCTGATCCCCTCTGACCTGTTTTCCCCCCAAATGATTTCTGAAGGTCACCCAACCAGACAGACAGTTTTCAGGTTGGAGAGGGAAGGGAACAAAATCTCTGCAAATAACTGAAAACATTGCCAAAATAGTGACAGTGCTAACCCAGTGGCCTCTGACCTCATTAGAGGCAACAGAGAATTCATCTAATGAAGTTTCTTGGAGGTACCCGAGTCCTGCAAGGCGTGGGAGCTCCAGAATCACAACCAGCTCTGGGAAGCAAGAAAGGAACAAGAATTGATCCAAATCAAGAGGGATGGAAAGGATGCAGTCTCTTACCAGAGTCCACAGCCTGCACACGGACTGGGGCGTCGCAGCAGATGGTGAAGCCAAAGCCGTCAGTGCCCCGAGGGATGGTGATCTGCAGGGAGACACCTGTCAGGTGGGAGAGCAGCCACTGGGTGTGATCCTCACTCCCACACTGCCCCACAGCCCCTGGAAATGCTGGCACGTGGCATTTGAGATGGGGAAGGGCTGTCACTGAGACCCCCACAGGTGGAATGGGGGCTAAAAGGCTCCCAGGAGTGTTTGTTTAGCACACGCTCTGCTCCCAGCCCTTCCAAGTGTAAGGAAAGGTCTGAGAAGCCATTGGAAAGGAAAACCTGGCAGTCTGGCCCTGACACTGACTTCTCTAAGCAGATCACTTAAACATTTCATTTCCTGTTGGAGAATACAGAAATAGCAGCACTCCCCTGCTCCGGAGGGAGCTGCGAGCTCAGCACGCTCCTGTCCTCCAGACATCTGTGTGCATCACCCCCTTCCCTTGGCTGAGTGTGTTTTCCCTCACTGGGTTTGGAGAGGAGGGATGCTGGGTTGATTTAGGCTCATTTGTCCTCCTGATTTGAGGAGCATTGAGCTTATTAATAAAATTATACTTATTTTTTGATGTTGGCTTCCAGCAGTAGCTCAGCGTGACAGATCCTGTAAATACCTGATTAGCCCCCAAGACATTAGTCAAGATGCTTGTTTTACTGACAGAGAAAAGAAAATTAAAAATCCTACATCTGACCTGTATTATTTTGAGAACAAACAGGCAGAAGGAAGATGAGGAATTCAGCAGAAGTTGCCAAGGAGGTGATGTGGTTCCTCACTCCTTTACCACGGGAAGGCAAAGTAGTGAGATTTCATTTCCCTGCACCTTGTCCCTTTGTGATTGCTCAGCATAAAATCAGGCTTCAAAAGAGAAACTGTCTTGCCCTGGCAGGATCAAACACAGATCCAGTCCCATTGCACTCACTATTTTTCTCTCTGGAGTTTGCTGGTTCCTCAGGGAGGTGGCTCTGCACCTTTGAATGAACCAGGAGTTGGACTCCTGGTCCCTGTGATTCCTTTCCAGCTCAGGATATTCCAGATCCTCCACTTTCATCTCCAACACCAAGCACTGGCACCAGGAGCCAGCCCAGCACCTCTCCCACCACGGAGACTCCACGGGCACTTCCCAGCCCAAGGTTTCCCCCCAGTCCTTCTCCCTGAGCTGGCTGACCTTGCCCCCCACCTGCCCTGTGCCACTGAAGAGCAGCTTCTCCCTGTGATGCTCCTCACCTCCCACCACCATGGCCATCTCAGACAATCATTGCCCATTTTTTGCCCATTTTTGCCCATTTTTTGCCCATTTGTGCTGCCATGCAACTATGCACAACTATGAACATCAGCCATGAGCTGGGAGGTGGGTGGGGAGGCTTGATGTACCCAAACTTTGCCAAAAAATGCAGAGGGTATTTTCAAAATAAAGACTTGAGGAGCTCTAAGAGACAAAGCAGAGTCAGTTGTTATCCAGCCAAGGCAGAGCAGCTTTCCTGCACGAGATGGTCACCACAGCCCTGGCAAGGAGGAGGCAGTTGGGTTTGGAATTCTGCAGCTTTTGTAATTCCCAGTGTTTGCTGTCCCCCACAGCAGCTTTGGAATAACCTGAACAATGAGCTCAGGAGCACAGGGAGAAGCTGACCCTGAGCTGGGAGTCCCAATCCCACAGAGAGAATATTTCTTTGAAATGCAGGAGACTGGGACCTGCATATGGAAAAGCAGCAGCTGGCATCGTGCACTGGGAGAACTGCAACCAGCACAGCGAGCTGATCCCCAGGAAACAAGTGGTGTTGGCTCCCAAAAACACAAAAATAAATTTTAGAAGAGGCAGTAGCAGCCTGCTATACCTGCTTCTTCTCTAATAAGGAGAAAATTAGGACAACACCTTGCAGCTTAACACTGTTACCATCAGCACACTACCTGCAAGTTGTACAGTAAATATATTTTTTATATTTGCATATATTTCTATATTTTAATAATTTATATATATTTGAAAAGCATCCCTCCCTGCCCATTTCTCCACTGCAGCAACAAGCAGGCACCAGCCACAGGCACCCATGTGAATGAAGATGCTTTCCTTCTACCCTCACTGTAATTTACCAATTGTAACGGTATCAAGTCGATGCTTCACAAGCAGCACCCACAGAGTCCATTTGTTGGATTAAGCCCTTTTCTGACCCAGAGATGGGCAACTGAGAGGCCTTTTAAAACTTTTATTCCATTTTCAGTCTCATGTGAAGGGTGAGACAATACAGATGTTATAATTCTCACCATCACAATCAGAAGTCAATTATTTCCTAATTACAATACATTATAAGGCCTATCAGCTTTTTGCCACACCATGCTGTAAATGCCTTAAAGCCAATTATCTAAAATTACCCCTCAAGGATCCCACTACAATGCATCTTTCATAGTTCTATTTCTCCAAAGTATTTTGTTTTATTTACAAGGCCATGCTTTGAACTTATTTCTAGTTGCATTCCTCTCACAACAATATCTGTCCTATTCCATGACATTTCTACGCCAGCATTTCTTATCTCAAAGTTTATATACTATGTGAGCTTTCTGTCAAGCTTTAAGAATCCTCTACAAATCCACTCCCCACATCCAGCTGTAGAAATCTATTCCCCACATCCAGCCGTAGAAATCCATTCACCACATCCAGCCCTGCAAATCCATTCGCCACATCCAGCCCTGCAAACCCATTCCCCACATGCAGCCCTACAAACCCATTCCCCACATGCAGCCATGGCAAGAGGGCTGCCAGGCTCTCAGGGATCTGCCCCAGGTGGGTGCAGGGGGATACAGACCTGCCGGTACCTCGGCTCCGAGCACACCTTGCAGAGCCCATGGAAGCGGTTCATGGCTGTGCCCCCCGAGCCCATGAAAACCCCGCGGCTCCCGCGGCTCTCCCGGACTGCTCGGGCTGGAAGGAGCCCCAGTCACGCTGGCATGACCGCCCATGGGAACCCAGCTCCCGAGAAGAATGGCAGGAAGCCACCTTTCACCTCCCCGGCCCCTGCGAGCGCTGTATGCCGCTCCACGATAAGCCAGAGGCTTCCTGAAAGCCCTCACTGACGAGGAAGGGAGAGAGTTTTATATTAAAATTCCTGTCAACTCTTTAGTATTCCCCAGTCCCAGCTCTGTTGATGTGGCTTTTGTTCCCGTGGCATTCTTGGGGCGCACGGAGCACTTTGTTATTGCGACGTTCTCACAAACACTTGGAGGATGTTTGAGCGGCGTTTCACAGGACTGGCTGTGAGAGCCTCGCTCCATGAAGGACATGACTCCATACTCATAAAAAAAATCAGAGGTTTGGGTTTATAGAAGCAAAAAAAAAAAAAAAAAAGAAAAAGTTTGTTTTTGAAAGCACAGACCCAGAGGATATGCATGTCCCCGTGCTTTGTGCTCATAAAGTCACCAAGGGGGAAGCACCAAGGTCAACTGAGCTGCATCCATGGTGGAATTTGGGAATTAAAAGCCAAGAGGAACTCTGAGCACAGCCAGCAGCAGGGCTCAGCTGACCCACTGCCAGAGTTGGGCACAACTCCTTGGAGATGTGGTTCCAACAGAAGAGAACACCTTCCACACTCCTACAGGGGGATGATAAAGGAGGGAAGGCTGGAGGGAACCCAAAATCCAGGTTCTCCTGCACAGTAACCAGGGTGGCAGGGCCAGGGAGGCCAGGCAGGGAGCTGAGGAGCCTCAGCACTGCCAGGGGAGCCGTGGTGGCAGAGCCATCAGAGCATTGTCAGGGCAGCCACACTGGCAGGCTGGGGCTGGGGCTGGGGCTGGGAGGAGGAGCAGCTTTCCTTCCCAGCCAGCACTGCTCAAACCAGTGGCGACTGCCGGAGAGGAAGGGAGGAGAGGGGCGCTGGCTTTGTTTGTCTTGCTCAGCCCTGTGCTGTAAAACAAATAACTGCAAATGCAGCTGAGGGAAGCGCAGGGCGGAATTCGGCACAGATAAATCACGGGGCCGCCCGAGCCCCGTTTCCGATGCAAACCATGTGTTTGTGTTCCCATTTCCCATCCTTGCCTCTCCTATAAATCACCCAGGCTCCACCATGGGCCTTTCCCTTCCCAGAGCACACGGTCCTGGAAGGAGGAGAGGAGCAGATGTGTCCAAGGAGCCACAGAGCCAGGTAGGGGCCCGTGCTGTGGGGCAGGAGCGTGCCAAGCCAGCCCTGCCATCCCAGGCACTGCTGGTGCTTTGGCTGGAGTGGGAATACTCTGGAGAACAGGAGGTCCCTGGGGCAATGGGGGTTAGCACCCAAATCACCCCCTCCACCAGCTGGGGGAACAAATTGCCTGTGACAGCCATGGTGGGACAGGGAGGTGACAGAGCTCCCTCACCTCAGCATCAGCCCCACTAAAACACTGTCCCTTGGTGTAGCCATGATATTTTATGAGAAATCCTTTCCTTTGGATTTTTTTCTCCTGAGAAGCTGAGAGGTCTCAGGAACAAAATGTAACCAATGGTTATCTGCTGCTGTGGAATGCAACAGGTGCATCTGTTTCTGTGGTTGTTTCTAATTAATGGCCAATCACAGTCCAGCTGTCCAGACTGTCTCAATCAGTCACAAGCCTTTGTTATCATTCCTTTTCTATTCTCAGCTAGCCTTCTGATGAAATCCTTTCTTCTATTCTTTTAGTATAGTTAATATAATATAATATAATATAATATAATATAATATAATATAATATAATATAATATAATATAATATAATATAATATAAATAATAAAATAATAAATCAAGCCTTCTGAAACATGGAGTCAACATTCTTGTTTCTTCCCTCATCCTAAGACCCCTGCAAACACCACCACACCTTGGGTCTCTGGAAACCCCTCAGGCAGGCACCCAACCCCACATCTTCCCAGTGCTGTGGGTCACAGCCCTGTCACACCCACCTTCAGCTGCTGCAAGGTCATAGCGTCCTGGTTCTCCTGGGTTGCACTTTGACTTCCTGGCTTGACTTCTGAAATTATTTTTAAAACATGTTTTAAAAAAGATAAAGTCCCCATGAGTGTGACAGCACATCTGGCAATCCCACACTGCACATGAGACCTTTACATGGCATGGGCACATCCCCCCAGGCAGCAGCTCGAGGGTGGCTGCACACCCTGCCCTGGGCCAGCCCCTGCTCCTCCACTCCCTGGCAAGAGCAAGGCAGGAGAAAAAGCTCCCAAACATCCAGCCCAGACCCCAGGGACAAAGAGAGTGGCCACAGCAATGAGCCCCAAGTCTGAGAGACAGGAGGCAGCATGAGGACAAGCCAAGCAAGAGAGAGAGATGTGGCTGCAGTGCTGGGGTCCCCAAAGAGCCCCAGAAGTGAGACTGAAGAGGAGAGCAGGGACTGCTGAACCAGCCAGAATCCCCACCCCACAAGATTTTGGGATGCCAGTGCCCACTGAGCAGCACAGGGCAGAGCAGTGCCCACAGGGTGCAGTGGGGCTGGGGCTGCTCCACACTGGGAGCAGGCTCAGACACAGCAGTGACTCCTCCTGCAAGCCCTGCCAACACCCCTGGGGTATTCCTGTGCTGGGACACACCTGGGATATTCCTGTGCTGGGACACACCTGGGCTCTGCTTCAGCCTCCTCATGGCCACCTTCAGGTGCTTGGTCCTGCCCAGGTCCTCCCCGAGGAGGTAATACCAGCCACTGATCTCCTGTGGGGAGGGAAGCAGAGGGGCATCAGGGCAGCTGTGCATGCAGGGCAGCTGTGCATGCAGGGCAGCTGTGCATGCAGGGCAGCTGCTCAGCCCCCTGCACCCAACCAAGGGCAGGAGCTGCCCCAGCTACAGCCACAGAGGTGCCCAGACCTGCTCACACACACAGCCCACAGTCCTGCTCTCAGCCACAGTTAAAATTCCATCCTCCCTGCAAGGGGGAATGAGCAACTCTGAGGCACCAAGATTCCAGGTTTTTACTGAAGCACCAAGATTCCAGGTTTTTAGAGAGATATCCAGCAGATTCCAGGTTTTTAGAGGGATATCCAGCAGTATCATGCAGCAGCCAGGGGACAGGACTCATGTCAGCCTTGCTGAGGTCCTGTGAGCACCAAAGTGTTTTAAAGAAGCTGCACCTCCCTTGTCCAAATTTCAGAGGAGGCCATGCTTCACCCACCTCTCACCCAGCACCACCAACAGCTCCTTTTTAGTCTCCTGCTATGCAGAAAACATCCACACCTCAGGTGAGAAACTTTAAAAAATCAAGGAGCTTTTGGACAACGCTCTCAGGCACTGGGTGGGATTGTCTGTGCAGGAGTTGGGCTTAATGCTCCCCGTGGGTCTCTTCAGGATAATCTGTGATTCTGTGAGCTCAGGGGATGTATTAACACCTCCATGAAACCCATCCAGCTTACTGAGACATTCTGCTGCCCAGGGACAGAACCCCTCCCTGCTGGGCACTGGGATAAAGTGTACCCATGGGATGGAGCACTCCCATGGGATGAAGAGTTCCCCTGGGATGGAGCATTCCCATGGGATGGAGCATTCCCCTGGGATGGAGCATTCCCATGGGATGGAGCATTCCCATGGGATGAAGCATTCCCATGGGACGGAGCATTCCCAGGCTTTGGTGCTCGCTGGGAGCCCTGCCCGGGAAGGCAGAGCCGGCTGTACTGACCAGCAGCAGCCAGGCTGGGGCAGCAGCACTGTGACCAAACCCTCGGCAGCAGGGACAGGGATTCTGGCACAGAATTCCTGCAGGAACAGCCAAAATCCTCTGTGGCTGCCCTGTGCCCATCAGCACACTGCTGGGAATCGGGCAGACTCCTGAATGTGTCCCACGTGTCAGATGTGACCCGTGCCAGCCTGGCCCCATCTCCTGTGTCCCCTCCCCTGCAAGCTGGGCAGGCAGCCTGTGCTGGGGACAGCTCTGTGCACCCCCAGTCGCTGCCACTCTGTGCCCCTGCCAAAGGGAGTGACACCCCTGTGCCAGGATCCCTCCTCTGACAGCCTCCCCACCACCTCCAGCACCCACACCAGCCCAGCCTCACCCTGCCCATCCACACTGGGAATGGGAGCAGGCAACTCCCTAGGCACCCTCTCCCACCGTGGGAAAAGCCTTTTCATCCACCCAGAGGGCCCAGAGAGCCCAGAGAGCCCTGCCCAGCCCCACACCCTGCACTGGGACACGGAGGTACCTTGTCCAGGGACAGGAGGGACTTCACACCAAAGCTCATGCAGCCAATGAGTTCACTCTGCCTGCAGGACAACCAGAGTTCAGGGACTGTCAGCACACGCCTGTGGGAGCACCAGATCCCCCCTGGCACCCCTTTTCACCCCAACCATCCCTGCCCATGCTGGGTGCCAGTCAGTGCCCAGGACGTGCCCCTGGTGTGAGCAGACACGGTGCAGACACCTGCAGGGCAAGGAGGAGCTGGGCTGGAGCCCCATGGTCACCTCCAACCCACCTGGTGCTGGCAGGAGCTTGGCCAAGGTGGCACTTGCTGGGCTGGCAGCACAGCCTGCAAGGTGCCACCCCCCTGGGTGCCCTCCCTGCATTGTCCCCACAGGGAGGGGAGATCCCAGCCCACTCCAGCCCCACCTGCCTTTGGCCAACAGTGCAGGCATGAGTGGCCACAGGGGTTTAAATGCTGGCCCAGCTGGTGGCTACCAGGCAGCACCAACAGAGTGCCAAGGGCAGGGTTTGCTGCCCGTGATGCTCCTGGGAGTGTCCCAGCTGGGACATCCCTGGGCCAAATCCTTGAGCAGAGCAGCCCTGAGGTGAGGGCCAGCCCTCAGGGCCCTGGAGGAGCTCACATGGGGTGACCAGAGCAGGGGACAGGGTCTCTGCCACAACAGCCCCACCTGAAAAGGATCTTATGACAGCTGGCAGCCCCTTACCTGGAATTCCTCTCTCTGTTCCAGACTGTGACCAGGAGACGCTTCTGCTCATCCTCCTCCTTCACGGGGCTGTAACAAGAGGGCACAGCCCATCAGCCTCCAAGGAGCACCCAGCAAGGGCTGCCCTCACAGCCAGGTGTTCTCCTCCAGTCCCTGCACAGAGCACTGCAGCCCCTCCCCAGAGAGCAATCTGCTCACTCCTGACAGCTGCAAGGGGATGTCACCTCTCCTGGGCAGGTGTGGGGACACCACTCAGGTGGCTTCAGGGGGGAAATAATCTTGCAGGAAGACACATCCAGCACCAAAGGGTAAGGGCAAGGAACAAGCCCCAGTTCATGCTCTGAAAGCACCAGCCTGTGCCAAACCCAGCCCTGCATGGGTCAGAGGGCTGGCACAGCCCCCGTCACCAGCAGTGACAAGCTCTACTCAAACAAAGTCATGCAGCTCCTTCCCCATGCAGAGACATGCTGGAGCTGTAGGAAACCCTTTTACCTTCCTCAGTCACACTATTGCAGGAGCCAGGTCTAGGAAATGCAGTGTTTGTCCAGCTCCTGCCCAGCAAGAAGGTCTGAGCATGCAGGAGCAGTGCTGCCATGCTGGGTGTGCTGAGAGCTCTGCAGAGCTCTGCCCAAAAGTTCAGGGCACTTCAGCCTTGAAAAGCACAGAATAATGGCTGTCACTCCTCATCTCAGCAGCAGAGCTGCTCAGGCGTGCTCAGTGTTTATCAGAGATCACAAAGCAAAAGCAAACACAGGGTTGTGGTGTGGAGAGGGAGCCCTGGGACAGTGGCACGGGGTCCCCAGTGCTCTGTGTGACACGGGGATGGCCCAGAGCTGCCTCTGCCCTGCCATACTCACAACACAAAGTGCTCATGGAACACAGGATTTTTGCTGTCTGGCACCGTCTTCGTCTTTTGCCTGCACTTGCAGCCAGCATCTGGCACAATGGACATCTTTGGGAGGAAAAGAAGCAGTGTTAACATTCCCAGAGCACATCCCCAGCTGCCCTGGCAGGACACTGGCACAGGCACTGGCACGGATGGCTGAGTTCAAAGATCCTGCTGAGCCCGTGCTAACGGCTGGTTGGGATCACCCCACCCTTCTGCCTGCCAGGTAATTGCATTTCAAAACCCCTTGGGGCAGGGGAGGGAGGGAACAGAGCAGAAAAATCAGGAGTGATGTACACAAGTGTGGCTGGCTGGGGTCTGACCCACACCCCCTCTCAGGGAAGCTGCTTCCTACACTGTGCACATCCCAGCAGGAGACCCACCCTGTGCCAGCAAACATCCCCACCAGGCCTGGGGCACCCTCTGGGGTGTTCTTGCAAGGAATGGTTGGCACAGCCCTCAGCAGGGTCCTGTCCTCCCCTTTTCTACTTCATCCAGACACTGCCAACAAAACCCATGAGCTGTCCCTGCATGCTGGGGATGCTCTTCCAGAGCAGGATGGAGAAGGAAAGGGAAGGGAAAAACATTGCAGAGCAAGCTTGGAGGAGCCAACCACAAAATTGTCCCCAAAAAGCACAAAGGTCCCTGAGCAAAGCCCCAGGAGGACTCACCTTCACATAGGAGTCACACACACGGCACTCTGCTCCCATCAGAGCTTTTGCTTCCATGACTGGAAAGGAAATGAAATTATCACATCCCAAAGCAGCAGGGCAGGCATCTCCCTACCCCACACCCCTCTGCTGCCCAGGCTGATCCCTCCCTGTGGGGCAGAACCCCCTCAGACAGGGGCAGGGGTTGATGGTTTCCCTTTAACACACCCGTGCTATAAATGCAGCCTGGGCTGAGCTGGTGGCAGAGCAGTTCAGCATCCAGGGGCACAAACTGCACTCCCTCTGCCCCACCTGCCCAGCCCTGCTCTCCCTGCCCTGGAGACAAACAGATCCTCCAGTTAAACATAACAGCCCATCCTGCCACTGCCCTGACACTGCAGTGACACTGACACTGCCCTGACACTGACACTACCCTGGCACTGACACTGCCCTGGCACTGTCCTGGCACTGCCCCACGCTGCTCAGCCCCACTGCCTCAGCCCCACTGGTGGGACCCTGCGGCTGCCTGGGGCAAGGGGTGTGCCAGGGATGTGTTAGGGATGTGCCAAGATGTGCCAGGGATGTGTTAGGGCTGTGTTGGGGATGTACCAGGGGTGTGCCAGGGATGTGTTAGGGATGTGCCCAGGATGGGCCAGGGATATGTTAGGGCTGTGTCAAGGATGTACCAGGGGTGTGCCAGGGATGTGCCAGGGGTGTGCCAGGGGTGTGCTGGAGATGTGTCAGGATGTGCCAGGGATGTGTTGGGATGTGCCAGGACAAGACCCCACCATTCACACCCAGCCCACGCTGGGGCTGCTCCAGATGGAGGGATTTGGGGTAAAGCCTGTGCCAGACCCCCAGACAGGTGTTTCCCAAAAAAAGGGATCGTTCTGACACTCCCATTGGCCGCTCTGATAGTCACCATCAAAACACTTTCATTGAAGAAATACTGCTGGTGTTAAAAACTGCAGCATTTGGAGGCAACAGAACAGTTTGGAAAACCTGGCAAATATGGCAAAAGTGTTTTGGCAGAGATAATGCATTTCAGACTTTCCAAATTGTATTTGCCTTTTTTCTCTTCATATGGAATAAAAGTAATTTATACACATGGGTGCAAACACATGAAGGTCTCTGGAAATGTTTCAGTTTGGTCTCTTAATCAAAGAGCTCCCGGTTGTGCCACTGCAGCCCAGGGTTTTTCCCAACAGGACCAAGAAGGAAGAGCATGCAATGCTGTCCCCACCCCAGCCCAGTGTGGCTCACTGGGGATGCCCCGGGGCACACTCACCGTGCAGCACCAGCGTCCGGCCCCGCGCCTCGATGGACAGCTTCAGCTGGCCTGGGGACACCAGGGACACGAGGGGACAGGCTGAGGGACAGGCTGAGGGACTCAGCCACCCCTCAGCTGCAAGGCCCTCACAGGGCCAGGCACATCCTGCCTCCCTCCAGTTCACAGAGGCTCAGGGTGGAGGTCACAGCACCACAGCAGGGCAGCCCCACTGCTCTGCAGCCTGCTCACACCCATTCCCTCGCTTTACCATGCACTGGCAGCTCTGCATCAGCCCAGAAATCCCCCCACAAGGCCCAGACTGACAGGGGACTCAGCCCATGGTGTTTTCAGGGTCGGGGTGTGATGGTTATGGGGTGTCATGGTTATGGGGTGCAGGGTGAATGGTTCCCCTCTGGGTGTGATGGTTATGGGGTGCAGGGTGAGCTCCTCCCCTCGGGGTGTGATGGTTATGGGGTGTGATGGTTACAGGGTGTGATGGTTATGGGGTGTGATGGTTATGGGGTGTGATGGTTATGGGGTACAGGGTGAGTTTCTCCCCTCTGGGTGTGATGGTTATGGGGTGTGATGGTTATGGGGTGTGATGGTTATGGGGTGTGATGGTTATGGGGTACAGGGTGAGTTTCTCCCCTCTGGGTGTGATGGTTATGGGGTGTGATGGTTATGGGGTGTGATGGTTATGGGGTGCAGGATGAGCTGCCTCCCCTCTGGGTGTCCTCCCTAAAGGTTCCCCAGGAGCTGGGCCTGCCAGCATCAATAGGATGTGCAGATTTTAATGGCAGTGAAGGGTTTCTAATCATGTAACTGGTCTGGATCGACCCAAAACCAAACATTTCCCAACACCCCTGGAGAATCCAAGGACTGAAACCATCACCAACACTACAATGTTTCTCTTAGTCCAAAGCAAAGATTCCCATTTTCACTTCTTCCCCAGTTTACAAAACACAGCAAACAAGTGAGTAAACATCATTTACAGGTGAGTAAACATAACATACAGACACATAAACATCTTGCAAGTTAAAACCCAACATTTCATTTTGTCAAAGACACACCCAAGGGCTTGGGCTTGCTTGGGAGGGGATATCTGATGGGATTGTTTAACCTGAAACAATTCAGAGAACACATTTTTCACTCAAAAAAAAAAAGGTCCAAGCTCTGAGGCACCCTCTCCCACCGTGGAAAAAGCCTTTTCATCCACCCAGAGAGCCCAGAGAGCCCTGCCCAGCCCCACAGCCCTGCCTGCTCTGCTGTTAGCACACCACAGATGTTACAGCACAAAGGAAACTGCCCCAGTGCAGCCCAGCATGAGGAGGAGTCAGGGGGATGAAGGGAGAGGAAGTTTTTGTGCTGGGTGATTTGGGGGATGCCAGTATGGGGACTGTCCTGCCCTGCCCTGGGGTGGCTGGGGCTGCTCCTGGGGAGCTCAGGGGCCAAGGGTTTGCACAGTGAGGGATGGGGTCACCCCTGCCCCGTGTGTGTCACTGCTGGGGGGACAGGGTCCCCAGCACCAAGGACAGGAGAGCAGGGACAAGAGGGGCAGCTCTGCCTTTTTGGGGAGAAACAAATTGGCCATAGTAGGGGTTGGGAGCTGAGGTGCTCTCCCCTCTGTGAGGAGCAGATGTTTCCCTCTTAATGCATTTGTTCCTGAGTGTCTCCCAAGCACATGAAGGGACAAATCAGAACCCACAGCACACCCCAGCCCCTACCTGACCCCAGGGAAGCTGCTCTGGGAGGAATGGTCCAGCTGGAGCTGGAGGGAGGGATGTGCTGTGCCAAGGCCTGTGCTCAGACAGAGCTGGGGACTCTGTCAGAGGAGCAGAGCAGGGACCTGGTGCCACACCTGGGTGGGCAGGAGCACAATCCCTGTCAAGGCAGGTTCATGGGCTGCATTCCCCCCTCAATCCAAGTGCAGAGATCAGAGAAACCTTTTCCCCTCATTTATCTCCTGATACATCCCTACCAGAACTGAGGGAAACAAGCCCCAGCAGAGAGGCCCTGACACAGCTTGCCCAGGTCCTCTCTGTTAAATAAAGGTTAATATAAATTAAAATAAGTGCAGAAGAAGGGCAGAGGGAGAAGCCACATGCAGCTCCTGGGTGAACATCCCATCACAGAGCTCAGCCAGGCTTGCAGGGGTGCAGCACAGAGAGCTCCCAGCCCCATCCACCTGGACCCACAGGGCCAGGAGAGGCAATTCCTGCCAAGGAACAAAGCTGGCACAAGGAGAACAGGGGAAAATGGGCATGAACAAGCACAAGATGGTAATCAAACATGTTCCCACCCATGAGAGAGGTTTGCCAGACTAAGGGAGGGGACAGGGCAACCTTCTATGGGAGCAGAAAAGCAGGGAAACCTGTTCCTTACTGATGGTCTCTGACAAATGGAAAATTTGGGGTTCTTCTTAAATGCTTTTCTGTAGGAAAAGCACAGTGCTGGGCCTGGCTGGGACAGCCAAGAACATCTATCAAATGCCAGTGGGGATTCCTGCCAGAGGACACAGTGCCAGATCCTGCCGGGTGGGAGGTCCCCATGGGCACAAGGCACCCCAAAATCACCATCCACAGTCTCTGCCCTGGCACCAGCCCTTTGGGAGACTCCCTCCTAGCCACCCTCAGTGAGAGGGCAGTGCTGGCCCTGTCCTGCCAGGCTCTGCAGCTCAGAACACAACTCCACATCTCACCAGTGATGCTCAGCCCACGAGGGGAACTGTGGCTGCAGAGATGATGTTTGGCCTGCATTTGGTACCAGAGAGAGGAGGATTTCAGCTTCCACGCTGTCCTGAGCAGTTTGGCACTCGGAAGGCCAAAAGGGGAAGGAGCAGCATCTCTGGGAAGGGTCAACATCCCTAGGAAGGAGCTCACTGCGTGGTCATGAGAGCAAGAGAAGCTTTGAAAGAAAACAAAACTGCTGCTTTGAGAGCAGCACCCAGAAGGGGCACCCAGCTGCCCCGTGTGTGACACTGCTGCCAGGACAGTTCTGACAGTGTGACCGTGTTCACAGGGGTCCCAGGATGAGGGAAGAGATGAGGATCTGACTCCATGTTTCAGAAGGCTTGATTTGTTATTTTATGATATATATTATATTAAAACTACACTAAAAGAATAGAAGAAAGGATTTCATCAGAAGGCTGGCTAAGAATAGAAAAAGAAAGAATGATAACAAAAGCTTGTGACTTGGACAGAGAGTCTGAGCCAGCTGACTGTGATTGGCCATTAATTAGAAACAACCACATGAGACCAATCCCAGATGCCCCTGTTGCATTCCACAGCAGCAGATAACCATTGGTTATATTTTGTTCCTGAAGCCTCTCAGCTTCTCAGGAGGAAAAATCCTAAAGAAAGGATTTTTCATAAAAGATTCATAAAATTCATAAGTGACAACACAGCGGCCAGGACATCCACAAGGTGTCCAGATTCCCAGCCAGGGCCGGGCCAGCTCCGCCCGCAGAGCCAGCGCTGCCAGGGGCCACCAAACCCACTCTGCACATCTGAGGCAGCCACACAGAGACCCCGAGGAGCAAAAAGGACCCTGGGGCTCTGCCCGAACGGGGCACAGCTGCAGGCGGCCCTGCCCCAGCTCGTGTCCATGCAGGGGCAGAGCGGGCTGCGCCTTTGGGACCCCGGGAGCGCTTCCCGCACCGCAGCGGGCTCAGGGCGCTCCTGCTCCGGGGCTCAGCGGGGCAGGAGCTGCTGCCCGGCCCCGATTCCTGCGAGGAGCAGCAGCTCCGCAGCCGCTTCCCGGCCGGGGCAGCACCCCCGGGCTCCCCGGGCTCAGGGCTCCGCGCTTACCGAAGGTGCTGAGGCAGAAGGACGCGCCCGGGAGCGGAGCGGCCCGGCGGGAGCAGAGCGAGACCCTGCGCACCCCGCCGGCCTCCATGGCATGGCACGGCACGGCACGGCAGCGCTAATGGGAGCCGCACTAATGGGAGCCGCACTAATTGGAGCCGCACTAATTGGAGCCGCACTAATTGGAGCCGGGCTTGCCGCGGGACACGGAACAACGGCCGCAGTTTGAACGGAGCGGCTCCCATCGGCCCCGGGGCTGGAACGGGAGCGCACCTGGGACACGTGCCAGGGCGGGGACAGTGCCAGGAAGGGGACAGTGCCAGTGCCGGGATCGGGACAGTGCTAGCGCCAGGATAGGGACAGTGCCGGGGTGAGGACAGTGCCAGGGCGGGGACAGTGGCGGAATCGGGACAGTGCCGGGGTGGGGACAGTGCCAGTACAGGGACAGTGCCCTGCCATGGTGGGAACAGTGCCAGGGTAGGATAGTGCCTGGATGGGGACAGTGCCGGGGTGGGAACAGTCCTGGATGAGGATAGTGCTACGGTGGGTACAGTGCCAGGAGGGACAGTGCCTACATGGGGACAGTGCCAGGACAGGGATAGTGCCTGGTGGGGACAGTGCCACGGTGGTGACAGTGACAGGGCGGGGACAGAGCTGGGGGGGGGGGGGGGGGGGGGGGGGGGGGGGGAGACAGTGCCAGGAAGGGGACAACAGTGCCAGAGTGGGGACAGTGCCCTTCTCCACCTGTGGCAGAGCGGAGACAGTGCCACGGTGGGGACAGTGCCTGGAAGGGGACAGTGCCACAGTGGGGACAGTACTGGGGTGGGGACAGTGCCAGGGCGGGAACAGGGCTGGGGGGAGGGACAGTGCCTGGATGGGGACACTGCCACGATGGGGACAGTGCCCTTCCCCACCTGTGGCAGAGCGGGGACAGTGCCGGGTTGGGGACAGTACCAGGGTGGGGACAGTGCCTGGAAGGGGACAGTGCTACAGTGGGGACAGTGCCCTGCCCGCCCCCGCAGACTCTGGAGCCACCCGCGGGCAGTGCCCCAGGAAGGAGCTGCAGGGTAAGAGAAGAGCCTCGCTGGTGTCAGCAGCCCCTGGGCCTGCCTGTGCAGGTGTCCTGGCACACCTCAGCTGCTCAGGCCGGGCAGGAGCCAGCACAGCCCCCTGGGGACATTGCTGCAGCAGAACTGGTCTGGGAGGGTGAGCCAGAGCAGGGGGAAGGCAGGGCATGGGTCACCTGCTTGGCTCTCATGTGACAGGGAAAGAGGCCTGCAGCCCCCCAGGCTTATGGGGTCCCCCTGCAAGAGCCCAGAGCAGCCCATCCCATCACCCAGGATCTCAGGGTGCACCCACCGGCCCTGGGTGCTGCAGCACAGCTCATCAGGAGGCACCAGGGCTGAGCTCCAGCTCCAGGGGGTGTGGAGGAATGGGGGAGATGGTTCCTGGGGGAAAAACCCCCCCCAAAGGCTGGGCTGTGCCAGATCCCTCTGGGATGGAAAAGAACGAGATCTCCATGCAGCCCAGGCTGCTGAGCACACACACCCCACCCTGCCTGTGGTGACCCCTCCACAGAGCCCTGGCCAGGGCTGAGCCCAGAGCCCTCCCTGCAGGAGTGACAGGGGTAGGATGGTTGGGATGGATGGAGACGAGAGATTTCTGAAGTTTGGGTTTGGAACTTGAGGTCTATTGCAAAGGGCCTGGGTGCAGGGCCCTGCTGGGAGCTGCCAGGCACAGCTGGAGCAGGCCCCAAAGAGGGAGAGAGAGGTAAAGAAGGCAAGAGTGTGGTAAAGAGGATGAGAGAGCAAGGTTCCCATTACAATGCCAGAAGTCTTCTTCTGTGCTGAATATTCTGATTCTCACTCACCAATCCAGTACAAGATACAAATCCTATAGCATTTACATACAGCCTATAAGAATCATTCCATTACCATCCTGTGTTACATTTTAAACCCTACAAACTCCTCTTTGGGCCCCTTCTGCCAAGCTGGCAGGGTCTGCTCTGCCCCTTGGGCCTGTCTGCAAGCAGAGGGTGTTGTTCCATCAAAAGGGGATCACCTTCAGCTGGCCACACCATTGTTTTCCAGCTGTTCAGTAACTGAGGTATCTCAAAGCTTGCTTTCATTTCAATCTTGCTTATAGTTTCCATATTCTGAAAATCTTTTGCCAGGCAATCATATTTATAAGGCTTTCCTGTTTCATCTTCCCCAACACCATCCCCACAGCCCTCACTCACCTTTCCCTTTCACTCGGGCACGGCTGATCCTCCTCCTGCTCGCCGAGGCTCCCGGCAGCCGGGGCTGCCCGGCCCGCTGTGGCCCCCTGGATGATGGAAGAGGCTCCAGCACCGCGGGACTCTGCCCTGGACCTGCTGGGGAAAGAGGAGATGAGAGCAGGACCGGGACAGGGACAGCAGGGACCTCCCAGGCTCTGCTGCACCCTCTGTTTTATCTGTCCCAGGGGTTTGTGCCCACCTTGCCCCAGCCTTCCCCGTGAGCAGAGGAGAGGAACGATGGCAATTCACTCAATGCAGCAGCACAGAGGGGACAGAGCCACGTTCAGAGGGACTCACCCCTGGCAGGAACCCCAGCTGCAGCCTTGGCCATGGCCCTTCCCATCCCACACACCAAGTGCATCCCAAGGCTCTGCTCAGCACAGTTTTATTTTATTTAGAACAGATGACCAGCCCTGTCAGGGCTTTATTAATGTGTAAGCTGCTGTCCAGGACACTGGAGATGCTGCCCTGAACTGGGTGTTCAGGACAGGCTGAGAATCACAGAATGGTCTGGATTGGAAGAGAACTTAAAAATCATCCAGTTCCATGTCTGCTTCAACTGTGCCAGGCTGCTCCCAGCCCTGTCCAGCCTGGCCTTGGGCACTGCCAGGGATCCAGGGGCAGCCCCAGCTGCTCTGGGCACCCTGTGCCAGGGCCTGCCCACCCTCACAGGGAACAATTCCTAATTCCCAATATCCCATCCATCCCTGCCCTCTGGCACTGGGAGCCATTCCCTGGGTCCTGTCCTTCCATGCCTTGTCCCCAGTCCCTCTCCAGCTCTCCTGGAGCCCCTTCAGGCCCTGGCAGGGGCTCTGAGCTCTCCCTGGAGCTTCTCCTCTCCAGGTGAGCACCCCCAGCTCTCCCAGCCTGGCTCCAGAGCAGAGGCTCCAGCCCTTGGAGAATCTCTGTAGCCTCCCCTGGACTCATCCAGCAGCTCCAGGTCCTTCTGTGGGTGGCCCCAGAGCTGGACACTCTTGCAGGACTCTGGCTCAGACCCAGCTCCAGCCCATCCCTGTTGATGTGCTGGGGCTCAGAGGAGGCTCCACAAAAGGGGGAATTGGATGCTTTCCTCATGTCCAGCACCCTGACAAAGCCCCAGCAGCCCCAGCCTGGCCCTCCTCACTCAGAGCCATCCAAACCTGCCACAGGATCTGATGCTGAGACAGACAAAAGTGCTCAGACCCAGAACTGGGAGCCTTGGAGGAGAAACCTCCCAGCCCAGCATGAGCAGAGGAGCCAGCACAGCCCAGGAACTCTGCAGAACCAGGAACATCTGCCCAGGCTTCTTCCACAGGGATGAGCAGGGTGGGACTGGTGAGGCAGAGCTGTTTTACACTGCCCTTAACACAGGGCAGCTGGGCAGCCCCAGATGGGGGGTCCCCAGTTCTGGAGCCCCAGAACTCCCTGGAAGGGCAGTGGGGCAGAGCAGTGTCCCTCAGCCTGATGGAGCCACACTCACAGCAGCTGTAAAGGCAAAAGACCCTCAGCCCTGTGGCAGTGTGTACCAGGATGGACAGATGGACAGGCCTACCACACCCTGCCCAGTGCCTCCAGGTACCCCAAAATATCTCCAGCTCCATCTCCACAGCCTCTAGGCAGAGGCAGCAGCTTGGAAAGGCTGTTTGCTCACTGGAAAAGCCTTTTCCCCCAAAGGTTGCCAGGGGCACTGGTTTGATTCAGCTGAACTTCCACCAGCAAAACTGCCTGAAACTGTAGGAAAAGCAACAGGAGGAGCACAGAGCAAACAAGGGAGGGAGGGAGGGAGGGAGGGAGGAATGCTCTGCACAGCCCAATCCATCACTGCCACAGACACCTATTGTACCACTGCCATAAATCCAGGCCCCTTTGGGCACTGGTGGGGACAAAAACCACCCCAGCAGCTTCCAAAGCCTCTGGGCAAAGAGCCCAGCTCTGCTGGGGCTGCCTGTGCCTGCAGGGTCAGCCTGACCCTGGCACCCTGCAGGAGGCTCCCAGAGCCAGCACTGCCCAGGGCCTGGCAGGGATTCTGCTGCCAGCTCCCACACCAAGCTCCTGCTTTCCTGGTGGAGAGGGGCCAGGAGCCTCCTTTTCCCTCCTTCCCACAGCACAGCAGTGAGGCACCAGCCAGGATGGGAGCAGGGCAATGTGCAGGGACCAGTGGGGTGGAAAAGGCCCAGAGCTGAGTCCCCTTGGGCTGTGAGAGTCCCTCTCCAGCCCTGGGAAGCACCCAGAACTGTTGGGGAAGATGAAACAGAAAAGCCTTATAAATATGATTGTCTAGCAAAAGATTTTGAGAATATAGAAACTATAAGGGAGATTGAAATGAAAGCAAGCTTTGAGATACCTCGGTTACTGAACAACTGGAAAACAATGGTGTGGCCAGCTGAAGGTGATCTCCTTTTTATGGAACAACACCCTCTGCTTGCAGACAGGCCCAAGGGTCAGAGCAGACCCTGCCAGCTTGGCAGAAGGGGCCCAAAGAGGAGTTTGTAGGGTTTAAAATGTAACACAGGATGGTAATGTAATGATTCTTATAGGCTGTATGGAAATGCTGTAGGATTTGTGTATTGTACTAGACTGGTTAGTGAGAATCAGAATATTCAACACAGAAGAAGATTTATGGTATTGTAACGGGAACCTCACTCTCTTGCCTCTTAGCTCTTACCCCTTTTACTCTCTTATGCTTTTGCTCTCTCACCCTCTCATCCTCTCTGCCCCTCTCTTCTCTCAGTCCTGCTCTGAGCTGTGCCTGGCAGCTCCCAGCAGGGCCCTGCACCCAGGCCCTTTGCAATAAACCCCAAGTTCCAGCCCTGGCTCCAGAGATCTCTGGTCTC